GGTGAGTGGGGGGAGTTACGAGAGCTGTGGCGGGTAAGGGGCGGGGGGACTACTGCATGGAGGAAGTGGGGAAGGGAGTTAAAAGTCGTAAGAGGGATTGGGTAGGGTATTAAAAGGCTTGTGTATTCCGTACACCATTACTCTAATACACATACCTAAAAGCTACCCCTCCTTCACATATCCACCCTACCCGCCCACCCCCACCCCACTGACGCCAAGGTCTAACAAGCCTCGTTGCCTTGCCTGTTTCCTCCATATCTTAGAGTTCTTTACATAATACAATGCCGTACAAGTCGTACCTTGAGAGTCCACAGATAGCCTTGGAAGGCTGGAATGAGGTGCGGCAGGTGTTGCGGCCAGGCTGGGAGGGGGGGAAGGGGGTAGAGAGGGGGGAGAAACCGGTGGTGGCGGTGGTGGTGGTGGTGGCGGTGGCGGGCGACGGAGGGGAGGAAGGGCGGAATGACAGCGGGAGGGGGGGGACGGCCCCCTCATCATCCGGCGCACCCAGGTGACCTTGCCGACCCCGGTGACTGTTCAGGGCTCAGCGCCACCCTTCACCTAGTGGCTTCTGCTCCAGTACCTTTTCCAAGAGTACATTTGCCGTACTTTCATCGCCGCCATGAGCATGTACGACTCCTACTCCGACATCTTTTCCTCCTCTCTCTAAATGTCCTTTGTTCTTTGTCTCACGCGTGTTCCTATGTGTGGCGGCCTTTGCAACTGCCTTTGCAAGTGGCCCCCCACCCCACATGTATGTATGTATGTACTTCTCGGGGTTCAGTTCGTACAAACACACAAACACATGCACATAGACATACACACACGCACCCCCAACACGCACGCACATACATACATACACACAGGCAGGTGGCTGGCAGAAGTTAAGGCCTGATTTCTGCTCCCGGAGGGTCCGGGTTCAAATCCGCCTGCCAGCTCCTCGGGTGTTTGAGGAGTGATGAAATGGGAGGTGGCCCCCCATCTTGTGGACGTTATAGGACGTGATAATATCAACTTGCGAGCTGGCCAGGAGCTAAGTTGATGCGCCGT